TGGCCGACATGCGGTCTAGTTCATTGTAGAACCACTTCATGAGGATGCATTTCCAGGTAGGATCTTGTTTCACTTCAACTGGTCATAAGACTGTTTGAGAAGGATGGATGAGTTTTGCCTGATGACTTGCTTGAGGTGGCCGTGCCACGGAAAGTCAGTGCCACGCGCCACGGGTGGCTCATGAAGACCAGGAAGGCTTGAATTGAATGCTGAACATTTGGCCCAATGATTTTGTCAACTGTTCTTTGCCTGGCCAAGAGTTGAACCAACCAACCCGTAATTCTGCAAGAGCCAAACGGAGAAAGCGTAAATTAGGTGATGAGACGTGTCTTAGCAGGGGGTGGGCCCATGGCTCTTGCTGTTGGAATGCAAGAGGGAAGTCACATACGTGCAACGCCTTGGGGTCAAGATAAGGCAAGATTGGGCCAGACAAGCAGACGGCCCCCTTAAAACAACCTGCATAGGATGTCTCAACAGCATGTGTTCAAACACCCAGTTGTTCAGCGGATTCCACCCTGTTTTCCCTTTTTCGTTTGGTGGGGAACCTTCCCCCCCCAAAGCTCATCCCCGACCCCGAAAAGGATCCCCTTCGTCCGGGGTCACTCGGCAACAGTGAGCCGGTCAGCCGGATGTCATGGAGCCTGACACTGCTGAAGACGAGGCAAGCCTGTGTGTCCCACAGGGTTTGATCACTAACTTGACCAACACCAATTGTTGAATTTGTTTTGCTCCCCGTGTTTCTGGACTTTATAACTTTCGGTGAAGGACCAATTGAGTAGTAAACAAACAGTTCAGTATTTGCTTGGCCAGTCCACTCTGGAAGGGATAAATGTTGGTTGTGTCTATGTTTGTGCTCTGTAAACATATTGTTTTGTTTTTTTGTTGGCCACAAGCCGAACCAGCCAGTCTTTAATGTGCCGTCTCTATGCAATGGAGGCTGGCAACAGAAACGTTTAATTTTTAAAAAAACATGGGCTTGAAGGAGCTGACAGGGAAACGCCATCCAATGGCAGCTTTACACGTGATTGTGGATTTCCTGGGAGCCCGCTGGTGGACATTACTTGGAGGGTTGCGTCCACGAAACATGTTTGGGCTTTCCCTAAGAGACTTCCTAGTGGTGTGTCCTCCTTCCGAAACCACGCCCCATTCACGTGTGACCTCTTGAGTGGTTCACGTTCCACTTTGTGCCCGGATATTCCGGTTCATGCTTTGCTTTGTGCTAAGGGTGCCTCCTTTCGCCGTACTTCCAGGCGGTCAGAATCGCGTCTCTCGCCTGTTTTGGTAACGGGGGAATCAGTAGAATCTGTGCTTGGAAAAACCAACCAACTACCACTGATGTCCGCCGGAAGCGTTTTTTGGTGGGATCTGACCTGGCTGGCTAGTTGCTTTGGTCATTGCCCTGGTGTTTGGGATCTTGGCCGATTATCTCGAGATGTTTCTCATCGCCCCTTGCCCCTGACAACCAGTTCTGGACAAGCCACCCTATATCGCCTGTTCGTTCCTTTTACCCGGGGGGGGGGGGGGCCTCAACACAATACAACATTGAGGTTTCTCAAAATGGGGGCCCATAAAATGGGCTGGTTGCTTTGGTTATTCCGTCCTTCTTTTCAGAAACCACTTGGGATTGCTTCAGCCAAAATCCGACTGGAGGCCTTGTTCTCTCAGTTGTTCAAAGCGAATCGACCTTTTGACCCTTTGGTTTTATATAGCTGTTTGATCTAGTTTTAGTAGGGGTCCCAAAAGGTGCACCTTTTATTGCTGGGTCCTTTGGGCCTTGTTCTGCATGTGTCCCCTTTCGCTTTTCGGCGATGTGCCAGGGCTCCGAGGAACTGCCCGAGGACCTACTGGATAGCCAGGATGGCGAGGACGCCGGGGAGGCATTCGCGCTCACAAAGACCGTATACATAGAGAGCCGCGCTGATTTGTTTCTAGGTCATATAGATATTTGGCTGTGGTTGTCAAAACCAATGGGATCCCATTTTGGGGTAGGTGAATTCACGATTTTAGTTTTAGTTTTATTTAGTGGGGATTCGGATGTTCACTGGGGGTACGGGGATTTTGACCCATGGCCATATTTATGTATACATCTATATGCACGGAACTTGAAATCTGACCGTGTTTCGAGAGAAGGGTCTCCCTTTTTGTGGGGGCTTGGAGATGTTGTTGGGGCATGATTGTATTGACCATCAAATTGATAGGGCGGGAGTAGCACTGCGTCATGCAGAGTCATCATGCGGCCTTGTGTCCGGGGGATTCCACGTTCCACCAAAGATGGAGTGGGTTCTTCTTTAAAGTCAACAAGCCAGCTTGAACAAGTTGTTTAGTTGCGGCAAGTAGAATATGCATCAAGGCATCAAGGCAAACATCAAGGGCCAATATGAGAGTTGTTGGATGTTGTTGGATTTGCAATGAGGATCACCTAGAAGCGAGTTTGCAACTTTCCCGGATTCAACATTCTGCTTATTCAGCCGCAATCACACTGAATCGCCGTGGTAGAAAACGCAACTGCCGGGTTTGGAAGCTGGCGCTCAAGCAGTTCAACCCAGTTAGTGGAATGTCATCAAGTTTGATTTACGGGAAGTGCGGCATAAGTTTCGAGGCACGAGCCGCCAGCCAGCCAACGCCACATTTGACCACTGAAAACGGGTGCAGGCACAGGCAGAAGAGCGAAGTGTCCAGACTGCAAGAGTAGAAGGTCAAGAGGGCTGGAGAATCGACAATGTATTGTGGCTTTCCAAGCAACCCGTATCTTGGCCAATGAGTTTGGGTTGGTAGTTCGTTAGCACTTCGGGTTGCTTCAAGAGTTGGCGATCGTTTGGCTTTCTGTTTTTTGTCACTTGCCAGTGGCACCCGTTTGCGTTCTTGTTTGATTGGTTTCCCTCTAAATTGAATCAACTAGAAAAGCTTCATGTTTGTGTAGGCGGTTTTGCAAGGGCGTCCCTTGGGCACAGCCATGGTGCTACATCGTGTGAGATGAAGCACACATGGGAACCCGGCACTAATCATCTACAGGGCTGGGATTGTTCTTTTGCTGGTAATCAAAACCGGCGTTCAATTGTGCTACACAACATCTACTTTGTATCCTTGTTTGATGCCCTGTTTGAAAGGAGAGCGCAATAGCAGTTGTCAATGCATTCCAGAGGGGAGTATCCCGTTTTAGAGCGGAACCGGGCGATTGTTTGGGAGAACCACCCCCCTCAGTTCCTAAGGGCTCCTCATTTCACACCTGCGCACGTGTGATGTTCGATCAGCAATCAATTTGGGAGGGAGAATTCTGGCGGACTTGTTCATGTTTCCGTGTCAACGGCGTACTAGAGGTCAACATTATATACTGGGTTGTCGGGTATTATTAGATAAAATTACCAAATGATCTTAGGAGAACTATGTTTGATTTGCTCTAGCCCCTTGGCTGACCCCTCCCCCCCCCCCACTTTTTTCTTGACCCACAACAAATCGGTACAAAAAGGCAGAACAAGGTATCTTCTGGCCATGGCTCGTGTGGGAACCCTTCCCCGTTTGGATTGGAAGTTAGGAGGTGAGGGGTGGGTACGGGGTTTCACAATAGGCAGGGGGTGAAACCCGCAAACCCATCCAAACACCCAAGAAAGGGGTTACCTGATTTGTGCACCAGGAGGGCGAGTCGGAAGAACAAACCGACGACGAGCCCTACGAGGACGTTGAAGGGGTATTAGGAAGCAGGGTCTCTATATTTCCCAAAAAACCAAGTGGGGTGAGATTTAAGGGGGGAAAATAGGAAGCCCTCTATACGCACCAAAAGGAACCTCACTTTTGAAGTGCCAGCGTGTCCCTTGGTACCATGGCTTTGGTTAAAAGGGGTCAAAGTGCCTCCTTGGCTACCCAGTGTCTCCTTTGAGTTTTGTGAAGCAACCCCGACCATCCTGACCCACAATGTGCGAAATGCGACCCATTTGAGCAGTTTTGTTGGAGCGGGGACTGTTTGAAGGAAACTGCTAGATCTTTGAGCATCCTGGTTTTCCTTTGGTTTTCCCTTTTTAAACCCCAACAAAAGGGTGTCCCCCTCAAAAAAGCGACCCACATATATAATATACATACCTGGACCCTCAAAAGGAACATTTTGTTGCTTATTATTTGTTTTTTCTTATTTCGCCAAATGAGCGGAATTTCAGAAATCTAGGCGGAAACTGCGAATTGCATGTTTCGCAGCGATTTCTGCTAATTTAGCCTGATCTTATATACATAGACCAGCGTTTCTCGAAGGGCTTTCATGCAGGCACCTTCCAGAATAGGAGTGGGACATGTAGGTTTCCATGACATGGTGCAGGGATGCGCCGCGACCCCAAACAAGGTGAGGTTTAGCCAGGAAATTGCTTCCAATTGTGCAATCAATGAATTTGAGCCAAACTTCCACAAATTTGGCCACCCAAATTACGCGGAAATCGGCGGGAAATACGCGGAAATCGACGGGAAATACGTGGAAATCGGCGGAATATACGCGGAAATCGGCGGAAAGGC